GATAAATACGCTATCATGGTATAAGAATGAAATATGTATGCCTAAATGAATGAACCTAGGCTATGATGTGAGCCACATAAGTGGCCTATGTTGTGTGTGCCTAGACTAAGATGTCAAAAGTTATGATGAACCCCTAGGAGTATATTACCCTAGGTGAAGCCTATGTTGTGTGTGCCTAGACTAAGATGTCAAAAGTTATGATGAACCCCTAGGAGTATATTACCCTAGGTGAATGATATGTTAACATGATTTGATTAAATGATGCCTTGGAGACGTAGAGACACTTAGAGCTTAATCGAGCTTAAAGATGATTGAAGCTTGATAAATGTGAATTGAGGTTCGATAAAAAAATGTGAATGATAAAGGCATGATGGCCATATTTGTGGATTTGTGTGCCCATCCAAAAGATGAATTTCAAACATTGATCTGATTTGTGGATGAATGGAATTCTGATCCCTTGTGACTATGTGTTTGCCTGCAAAGATGGTGGTAAGCAAGGACGGTGGTATTAGTCCTACTTGTGATTCTCACTTACAGTGCTTTGATGTCGCCCGTTTGAGAATACTCCAAGTGATGTCGATTATCGGGGCATTACTCAGTTAATGATTTGTTTCTGCTCTAACTGCTTCGATACACATGAGATCTATTTCTCCGCTATCAGCTTTGCCTTGAATGTGATTTGATTCTCTATTGGTTGTCCATCAAGCATGATTTGACTATGTCCAAGGGAGAACCACTCATTGATTTGATTTGCATATGACGTGAGATAGCCATGAAGAGGTTTAGATAAATATGATTTGAATATAAAGTGAGACTCTGACAACTAAAGTGTGCCATGGAAAATGATTTGCATAAATATGATCTGCCTTGAGGGTAACCCTAATGATATGTGTGATGATCTTTAGAGACATTGAGGATGGTGACATGATGTTCGTTGGATTATGTGGTTGCAGTGATAATGTAATATTTATTGTGTGATTATATATATAAATATATATGTAAGATTTTGTTTATTCGAACCACTCACTAAGTATTATAGTACTTATCCATTCATGTACCATGTGCAGATAAATTGGCCACAAAGCTGTGTGGTAAAGTTTGCTTTGAGACAAATCGATTTTGGCATTTGGTAGGTCTCTATTTTGATGTTTTCACTCCGCTAAGTTCATTATAAGCTTTCGCATAGGTTGGTTGTGATTATGTACATAGGCATGTTGTGCCATATGAACTTGTATAAAGGTTGTTGTGAGTGAACCCACCTTGGATGGCCAACATACGGCCCTATAAATATTTGTATGAATTATATGCC